GAAATTCCTTAGCAAATTTAATAGTGGCAATTTCGGCTGAAAGTTTTATCTTTCTGTTAGTCACCTAATTTCTCTTAATCCTATATTACTCTCCTAATTATGTCCTCAAAAAGTAATATTAAGCTAATTCATCCATTTTAATGGTTGGCATTGTAATAGAAAGTACGTAATCTTTGAGTGATTCTCACAATTTCAAGTTCCTGATATGGTGATACAAATACATATAGCACCAAGGAAAAAAGCAAAACAAGGCGTAAAGTAAATTTAGCACTCGTGTTCGATTACGTCGGCCGTTGAAAAAAGTTTGATCTCCGAAAAAGATTTTACTACAATTTAGTCAAACCAAACACACGTGAGAAAGGAGTCATTTGGTTTTGGTCCATTTCTTCGACCAGGGGTATTTTGGGAATTCCGGCTCTTATCAGAAAATTAAAGAAACAAAAGTACACGGGATAACGCTTAATGCCAGCTGGCTTTCCGTACTACGTCTTCCAAAAATACCTTAACCATCATATTTTCACACTTCCCCTCACACCACGTTCCTTTTATTTTTCTTTTCCTACCCAATTTCCTACCTATTTTTTTTACTATTTTTCTTTAGCTATATTTCCAAATATTATAGCTTCTAGATCCAATTAATAACATAAAATGATTAAAAAAATGATGAACAATACTAAACCAATTAGAAAAAAAAAATTAACGAAAATGAGTATATCATCTTTTATAACGCTAACTATTATTGTCGCATATTACATAAATATATCTTTCACCGTTTCATAGACAAAATTATATTACTCTTCTTTGTGTTTGTAAGTTTATACGACATAATATCTTTTTAATATTTGATTTTAACGGGAAAAATAAGGTCATATTTGTTGACAAAATACAAAATTAGAAATTTAGTTTCCTTATTTTACGGTAAAGGCTAAAGATGAAAGGAAAATCGCATAAAAAACCTTCAAGGTGGCTAGCACTTACACTTTAAACCTCTAAGGTTTACTGGTATCATTTTAAACATCCAAGATGGCAATGTTGACATTTTAAACCGTCAACATGGTATTTGTGTACGCGACGCCAAAATTTTTAACGGAACAGTAGACGCCGTTAACAGAATCTTAACTCCATTTAAAAATCAGTTAACACCGTTTAAAAAACGTGTCTGATTAATTTAAAATTTAAAAAAAAAAACATGTGTGTTTTAAATAAAAAGAAAACAAAACACGGGATCTGGGTAAAAAAAAACTCCCAAATCGATTTCGGATTAGGGTTCTTAGTGGTGAAGGAGAAATTCGAGTTTTCTGGGTCAATTCGTGGGGAGATTACGGGGCAAAACTACAAAGACTTGGTTTATAAGAGAAAAAGGTAAGTTCTCTATCATTCTTGTTATTCTTGTTCTATTCGAAACATGAACTGCTAGTCTTTTTCTATATTGTTGAATTTAGGGATAATTGATAAAAATTCGAAGTAATCAGAATAATTGGAATTCTTGAGCTTGAAAGATGAAATGTATATGATTCAATTGTAGATGGCTCAGAGTGCAAGTTTGTCACAGAGTGCAAGTTCGTCAAACATTGAATCGAACAATGAGAATGGTGTTCTTTGTAATTGTAACCGAACAACTAAGATTGTGAGAGCTTGGACTAAAGACAACCCTGGACGGAGGTTTTATAGTACCTAAGAAAGAAACATTCAACATACTTAATCCCCTTAATACAATCCAAAACATCCAAAATCAGTTTTAATGCTTAATATAAAGAAACATTCAATCCAAAATACACAAAACACACATAATTAAGGTTTTTTAGGCTCTGATGGAGTGCCAGATGGACGATGTGATCCCCTTGAAAAGGATGTGAAAACATCAAATGCTCGAGCCGTAAAGGGACTCATAAGAGTTCCTGAAACTGTTGGAATAGTATTGGCCTCTGATATCTTCAATGGTGGTCCTCTCTTGCGCTTCTTGGGTTGTTTCTTTGTAGAGACGGATGGTTGAGGAGCACTTGATGCAGCTGGATAAGAACCACTAGCTTCAGCCGGCTGGGCAGGCTGAGTGTTGCTGATACTTGTAGTGGTCTGTTTCTTTTTCCTTGGTTGTGTAGGACGTTTTGGAATCACCTAGAGCAAATTAATAATCACAATCAATGGCTGTAAAAATATAAGAGTATAGAACTCTAGGAAAAGAAGTTAAACTTACGTCTTTTGGATGTTTTCGGAGTCGGCCTTGTTTATTTTTTGGTCCCTCCACAATAACTTTATCATTCTTACAACTGCGTATGATATGTCCAGTTTCACCATAGTTGCTGCAATGTTGTATTCTTCCACGCCTTGTTGATTTGTCTGGTTTTTGTAGATCCTCAAATGGCTCTTTCCTTCTGTCACGCAGTTTATGCCTTCCTCGGGGCTTCCTAATCTCTGGAATACCAATTGCAGGCTTCTCTACGTCACTCCACATGTCTTCACCATTGACTGGTTTGATATTATCCTCATAAGTATTCTTCACGACAACAACAGCGTAATATTCAGCAACATACTTCTCAGCATCCTCTTTGTTGTCTCTAGAACACATATTGCATGTCTGCATGATATTCCTATGAACAAAACTGGTTTAGTTATAGAAGGATATCATAAAAATTTCAAAATAGTATAAGAAGACATACCTGTTAGATCCCAACGTCTACAAGCACACTCATGGCTATCCAATCTCACTGTGTAACCTTTATTAAATTCAACCACCTCATACAAATTAGTACTACTACGTATTGTCTCACAATACTTATTCTCTATCCTTGCCTTTTCCAGTATTGCCATTGTAATTGGTGTCAGAAATGTGTCAC